CTTTATGAAGTAAAAACACTGTGACCTTAATTCTGAAAGTACGGAAACTACTGAAAATTCATTATGCTGCAACTATGCATTATTGTCAAACATAATCCAGTCTATAATCTTCTTACCCGGCTCTGGGGAGTGCATACATAGCAACATCGTCCCACAAACGGCCTTTTTCTGCTCAGCAGAGCCTCCTTCCATTTTAAAGTGGCAGATCGGAAAAGAGTGGGACGAGAGTTATACTCTCCCTGCAGAACAAAAGACCACTGTGTAAATATGCAGAAATATATGTTTTACTGTGTATGGGAAAACTTTGAGTAAGAGGAGTTGTCAGACGCACATACACACAAAAAATTACCCCTCAATTACATAAAGCACAAATTTTTCCAAGATTTTTCTAAAATAAACTATGTTATCTCCAGATGATGTGATTTTAAAAAATAAAAGCAAAATCTCAGTGTTGTACTGATGTATCTAAGCACTGCAGTACATGCTGACACACAAAATTTTAAAAGAAACAATAACTAATTAAGAAACACCAAGGAAACTGCCAGCTGAGAAAAGTGAAAGAAATTAACAGTAAACTACATTCTCAATAGTGTAAACATGCTTGTAATATGAGCAATATATTTACATCTGTAAAATTGCAACAAGACTCAGTGTATCCAAAAAATTAACTCAGCAGACTCTGAAGGCACTTTCCAGCAGTTTCGTGTAGAGTGATATGAAAAAGGAACCCCTGTGCCTTCTCCAAGGTTACATTGTCTATCTGAAGGTTACAAAACCAAATAATCCAAAGTAGCTGGATTCACAGAACTCATTCTCCATGTTAGAACACTATATAAAAATTGTTGTTAAGTATGCTTTCAAAGATATTGACTGTTTCAATTAAATTCTAGTGAATTATTGCTTGCCTGAGAATGAGCACTGGGTTGCCATTTCTAAACCATACATTTTATTCAAAGGGAAGTTACTTTCAGTATTAAAAGGGAAGTTACAGAAACAAACCAAAACAAAACCAAAATGATGTTTAAAATTGCACATTAACGAGGAAGAGCAGCAGGGTAGAACAAATACCTTAAACCAGCATAAGGGCTGTAAAACACAAATACATCATCATATACTCAGTCCAGTGAGAAACAACCAGAAAGTCAAAAGCAATGCTGCAGATGCCTAAAAACTGAATTGTGCATATATCACACTTGGCAGGAGTATTGAAGTCACTTGGGAAATATTCCAAGGATAAATCTTCCATCTGAAATAAAGAAGCATCAAGACCTAAGCCTGCCATAATCCCTTTCTCTCCAACTTTCTGTAATGCTAACACCAAATTAAACCGACTTTGTAATAGTGTCCTTCTGCTTGCCTCCAACCCTTTACTGAAGTCACCACTACTTTCTTAGAAAATCTCCTTCCTATCTCTTCTGTCCTGCCTGCCCTTATCCCACTTTCTCACAGATCTCTTGGTTACTGCAGCTTGCTGTCTGATGTCATTTAGCTCTAGCTAGATAGAAAACCCAGCTGCCAGGACATCTGTCTTTCCCCCTCAACTCTAAACATGTCTTCAGTTCTTCTTCCAGATCAAGTTCAAAGCCCTCCTCTCCAAATCCATGTCTAATTTCTCCTGACCTATGCTGCTAAACCAACCAGCATCAACCCAGTCCCCATGTGGCTCTTTTGGCTCCACCCAGCCGAGTCCACTCACCAACACTTTATCTCCTCCAAATCCCAGGACTCACTCAACAGAGGACACAGACTTTTAATAGGTTCCTTATTTATATCCACCAAGTTTTTCTGCCTTCTGTATTGCATGAAAAGCTCCAGCTTCAATGGCTACGCGACTTTGCATCTTCAGCTTCATGCTCCTTTTTACCTGCGCGTTTTAAACTACATAATGCAGGAGAGCAACAAGTTTTCTATTTGACTTTCTGCTTCACTTTGAGCTACGCCAGAACGGGATTCTGTACATTTACTGCTACATAAAATGATTAGCAACATTACACCAGAGGACTGTAAGACTATCAATAGGGTTTGACAGGGTTTTTCTTTTCTAGCAACGTTAGTCTTTGGCACAGAAATGAACTGTTGGATCCTCCTTACATTTCAAGTTAAATTAAAACCAAACTGTACCATGCACAAGAGAAGTAATGCCTTATCTTTCTTCTTCACAACAATAAAAATGTCCACCTTCAACTTGAAGAAACAATAAAATAAATATGGCCAGTAACATTCACAATTTTTACTTACCCATTCTTCACTGGAATGCTTACATCTACTGATGCTGCAGTCTGCTGAGGCGGACAAATAGGAAACATCTATTGTTCCAAGGGACAAAGCAGTTTCATCCATGACACACGAGTGGAACTGAAGATCAGAAACTGCAAAATAATAACACACATATGTGTGTATATATATATATATGTATATAAACCTATACAGAAGCGCACACAGAATTTCAGTGATGGGCATCTAGCAATAAATTAGCAAATTGGTATTTTTTAATCTTTCGATAAAAGTTCAGTTCTAAAGATGTTTCATTGCAGCTAAAAATCAGCAAGATTTTAATATGCTAAAAAAAACAGCACGTTCAAGTTCCACAGCACACCAATCAGCTTCCAGCATGCTTCTCTCTCTCTGCTCTTCTTTCCCTTACAGGTCACTATGCTCCCTTGATAATTTTCCACTGTTCTTCACTGCATGGCTTAAACCATGCAGCCACAAGGATACACATTTCAGCCACTTTCCAAGGCTTACTATTCTCTTGCACTCCATGACTTCATTCTTTTATTACTTGCTTCTCGAGGGCACCTATGATCTACAAAAAATGTCATTAATGTTCTCTCCCAATCCTATCTCACGGTATATTTTATATGTCTGGTCCAGCTGCAGTCAAACCAGTTTGCAAACTCCTCAGAAGGAGTGCTCTATAAAAAAGCACACCCCTAAATCTGAACATGCTGCTGACATAAGTGACATTACAGGCTTATCGGATTAAAAAGCAGTAAAGAAGTCTAAACTTGCATTATTATTTTGAAATGGAAGTTTTATAGTTTATATAATAAGCACAGCAAATAATTCTCCCTTCGCCAAAGAAAAAAGAAAGGGCAAACATCTTAAAACAACATAGTGATGTAAAATATACGTGCAAAACACTACAAATTAAACTGCTCTGTTATGGAGAGATACTGAAATAGGAATTCCAGCATTTTCACCTAGAGAAACTGTAAAGTGGCAATACCTTCCTCTTCTGTCACTGCAAAGAAACTTCAGTCGTGGCCAAGCTACGAGCCATAAGGAATAAGACTGATCCCATGTTGTACGTTCTATGCTAAGATCTGCAACAGCAAGGCCTAAAACTTTATTCCAACGTTTTTGCCTTTCTTAGTGCCCCCTCCAAGCTGCCACAAAGCCCATCTGGTGATATCCAAGCACAGAGTTCTCAATACAAACTGGAGTTCGAACCAATATAACCATGCAGTCATCCTTTTGTCTCTGCTAGCTCTCACATTCAATTTGCCTCTTTTTTGTAATCAGCGCTCAGGCAATTTAATATATAAACCTCCCAATAAACACCAAAAAACCCCCAGTAAACCTCTGAACAGTGGAAGCAAAACGCGTCCTTCTCGTGCTCAAGGTGACCTTGGCTGCGCCGGCACACATAAAACATGAACTTCAAAAAATAATACGGAATTAAAAGCTCGTGTGAGCAGCAGCAGCAGCAGCAGCCCCCGTACACATACCTGTGAGACACCCGCAACCCGAGCTCCCGCTCTCGCTCCCCCTCCGCCGCTGCCGCTGTTCACCTGCCGGCCACCGCCATCCCGCGGGATCCACAGCGCTCCGGGATAGCAGGGATAGCAGGGCTCACTGGGAAGCAATAGGGCTCCAAGAGGGCTCCGGGCTCAGTAGGATTCAGGAGGTCTGCAGCAGGGCTCCGGGTTCAGCAGGGCTCCACAGCTCTCCAGCCCTGCTATAAATAAAACCGGGGCGCTGAGCGCGGTGCGGGTGGGCAGCGCTCCGGACACGGCGGCTGCCAAGGGGCCGCCCCGCGCCTCCCCGGTCGCCGCGAGGGGCGGGCGCCGACCGCGGGCACAGGGCCGGGGAAGGTACCCCGGGGCTCCCTGCGCCCTCCCGCCCTGCCCGCGCTGCCCCCCCGGCGGCCCCACGCCCCCCGCACCCTGTGCTGCCGCCGCTCCGCCGCTCGGCCCCGCGCCTGCCGGGGCCGCACCGCCCCTCTCGCCACGCGGCAGCCACTGCGCTGCCCCGTCCCGCCACCGGGGGCAGCACAGCCGGGGGCAGCACCGCCCCGCTCCGCCTGCCCCGCCCCGCCACCGCCACCGCCACCGCCCGCCCAGGCCCGGGCTGGGCCGGGGCACCAGCGCGGGGGCTCCGCGGGACCCCGAACGTTCGGGGGGG